AAAAAAAGCACCGAAATGTGCGCTGCTTTTCAGTCTGGTTACTACCGTTTATGACAGAACCGGTGCCATCATGGCACCGGATACCGGTACCCATCCCTAGTTATAGCGCCTGAAAATCATGCATTGCTAACACTGAGATGTGCTACAGTGCATCCAGAAAGTATTGCCAGTGCTTGATGCTACAAGCTTGGCACGTTTCTCCTATTTTCTTTGCAAACCCTCCATCAGCTTTGATGGTGTACAGCCATTTTCAGATCTTTTGAGAAATGTGTAATCTATTTCAAGTCTGGACTCTGACACCACAACATGATGCTGGCACCACTGTAGGGATCATAATGGCCAAGTGATGAGCAAAGCCTGGTTTTGCTCGACATTCAGGCTGAAGAATTTAATCTTTGTCTCATCAGACCAGAGAATTTTGTTTCTCGCGGTCTGAGAGTCCTTCGGGACTTCACTAAGGAGTGCCGTCTGTTCGGCCGCTCTGCCACACATGTCTGATTGGATAGTTAAATATTCAATGCTGCAGAAATGTTTCTGTACCTTCTGTGGATTTCATGGCCTGCTTTGTGCTGTGTGTTTACCACAGGTGGGCTCCAGTCAGGTTGTAGAAGCTCTTGATCAGTAGAAACAGGAAGCACCTGAGCTCAGTTTTGAGTGTCACTGGAAAGGCTGTGAAACCTTATATATGTGTTCAATTTTTGTTGTTTTATTTTTAATACATTTGCAAGAATTTAAACAAACTTTATTCACTTTGTCATTACTGTGTGTAGAAGTTTGAGGTCAAATTAATTGAATCTATTTTGGAATAACATGACAGCAGGTGGAATAAGTGAAGCGTGTGGATACTTCACTGTTTCCTCCTGATATATACGAATGTTTCCCGTCTTTGTTCTGATTCTTTGTTTCTCTCCTCAGCGAGAGTGTCGGTCATATCAGGCTGGGAGTGTTTGGTGTCGGGTCACTGATGTGATTTCTGTTTGCAGAAACAAGAAAAAGAAGATCCCTCTGATGAACGGAGAGGAAGTTGACATGGATTTATCTGCAATGGAGTAAGACA